TCTTTGCCACTGTTACCAACAAGAAGTGTAAATGTTTGGGTGGGGTGTTAGACCCTCTCACTGGGATACCCCTTTCTTGTTCCGTGGACAAGAGATCTTCTATATGCATCTCCTCTGATGCTCCTGATTCTGAGGATAGTAAACAAAGTCAAGCATGACAAGGCAAATTCATATTAGTAGTTCTGACATGCCCCAGACAGACCTGGTAGCCTTACCTAATTCACCTAGCTGTTTGACAGGCAATCACTCTTCCGTCCATTCCTCATCTCCTGTCTCAAGATGTTGGTTGGATGTTTCACCCCAACCTGAGGATCCTTCTTTGTCTCAAAGCATGGTTTCTAAGTGGCTCATGGGAATAGAGACTTACTGTTCTGAGGCGGTACAACAGGTATTATTGAACAGTAGACAAGAGTTCATGAGATATACTTTTCCTTCACAAATGGAAGAGGTTAATCATTAGGGGGAAGGCTAGCCCAGTGGTTTGAGCATTGGCCTGCTAAACCTAGGGTTGTGAGTTCAATCCTTGAAGGGGCCACTTAGGAATCTGGGGCAAAATCAGTACTTGGTCCTGCTAGTGTAGGCAGGGAGCTGGACGCGATGACCTTTCAGGGTCCCTTCCAGTCCTAGGAGATAGGATATCTTTATTTATTTATTTATTTATTTATTTGGTGTGATCAGAGATGTGTTCTACCTGCTCACTCATCCATCTTGACAGTTTTGGACTACCTTCTTGAGTTTTAAAAAAACTAGGATATCTATGAGTTGTATCAGGGTATGTCTAGCAGCTATTATAGCCTTTCATTCCCTGTTCAGGGACTCATTTTTTTGCTCAGTTTTTGCTCATCCCACAACTCTGAGTTTCTTGAAGGACTGTGGAACCTTTCCCTCAAGTTAAGGAACCCACTCCAACTCGAGAGATGAACCTAATACTTAAATGCCTTATAAATCCTCGATTTTTTTGAGCCAGTGGCTACATCTTAACTCATTAACTTATCTATGAAGATGGTCTTTCTGGTAGCTATCCTCTCTGCCTGAAGGACTGATGAAATAGGTGCTCAAAAGGCGGGACTTCCATTTACTTATTTGATGACAAAGTTTTCTTACATCCACGTTCTCATTTGTCGTCTGAATTTCAAATTAACCAAGTCCTCTACCTTCCGGTCACTTTTTCTAAAACCTCATCAGTCCAGTGGAATGCTGCTTTACGCACCTTGGTTGTTAGGAGGACATTGCCCTTTTATTTGGACAGAACCAGATCATTTAGGAAATCGCTCAAGCTGTGTCCATTTGTGGATAGATCTAAAGATTCGTCAGGTGCCACCCAAAGACTCTCAATGGGGATCTGCTTGTTATATCATAGTATGAATCTGCTGACATTCACCCTCCTCATATAGTGTTGGGCCATTCCACAAGATCTCTACTTGTATGGCATTGTTCAAATGCATTCCTGTTCTGGACAGTTGCAAGGCAGCAATTTGGATTTCAACTCGCATCTTTTCCAGACATTACGTGGTAATCCAGTCTTCGGGCTTGGATGCTGCTTTCGGGAATGCAGTCTTATTAGTCTGGGATGTGATTCCAAAGCCCCCTTCTCCAGCTAGGTGCTGCTTGGTAGTCACTAGAGATGGAGCACCCATGGGGACAGTACTTGAAGAAGAGGTTACTTACCCTGTGCAGTAACTGGAGTTTTTTGAGATGTTGACCCATGGGTGTTCCACTACCTACCCTCCTTCCCCTCTGCTTCAGTGTTTCCATTGAGACTTTATGGTGAAGAAGGAACTGAGAGTGGTTTGATTGTGCAGCCCTATAGAGCCTCGATGCAGGGTAAGAGGATGTTTAGGGCGCATGCAGGGGTTGAATGGGCACTTCGACCAAAAATCTCTGATCAAAGGGCATGAGGTATAAGTGCAGCTGAAGTGGAGCACCCATGGGGGAGGGGAGCACATCTTGAACTCCAGTTACTGCATAGGGTGAGTAATCTCTCCTTATCTGATAACTCAGGCTCAGTTTACTTAAAAAATAAAGCGGGGTGGCGGGGGGGAGCTCTTTCCCAGGGTTTCAAAACTAGTACAGCTGTGTGTGTGGTGAATGATGCTTTAAAAATTGTAAAAATAAAAAAATCAAAAAGGGTATAAAGTCTATACCTTGGAAAATCTTTGTAAAAGGTGGAATGTTTTAACTTGCTGAATGATCCAATAAAAATAAACTTTACAGTGGGTTTTAGATTGGGGAAGCACAGTGACTTAATGAAAAGGCACTGTTACTGTCTTCATTCTCCATGAAACAATAGATTGTTTGTTTGGTTCGGCATAGTAGCTATTCTATTGTAGCTTTATTATGTCTTAATTTTGTCTTTTGTAGAAACCTGAATTGTGTTTTTACTCGTAAGTATTTTGGATACAAAGCAAACATTAAAACTGATAGCTAGGGGGGAGAGAAATTGAGTTAGAGGTAAGGGAAGAAAGACTCATGGTAGAAACAGCAAATATGGTGTTCCTGGCCAGCTTAATGACAAATAGATTCCCTATTCAGTGGGGGAAGTACCAGGACTGAAGCAGAGAACTGTAAAAGAGTACAGTAACATGAGGAACTTGGATTCCTCCACCTCAGAGCCAGGTGAAGCACATATTTCCCTCCTTAACTGCATTTATGGAGCACTGGTTTGTGATTCTTCATCACCAGAAAGACCTTGGTATCAGGTAGTAGTGGTTATTCCCCTTTCCGTGTGCTTCCATTTCATGACACCAAGAAAATAGTGTGGAAATTCTGGGAGACACCTGGTCCCCACTCTGCCTTCTCCAACGCAATGTTTTGCTTTGATTAGCTCCCCCAGACACTAATAGTATACCAGCAACCTGCTTTGTAATAGCGATTGCAATTCTGTTGAGAGAAGTTCCAGACAAAATAGAAGCTACTGACTCTTGTTCCGACTGAGAAGATTTGGATGAAGCTCTGCAGTAGTTGTGTGGTGAAAACTGCCCCTCATGAAAAGTTGAAGCAATCTTTTCTCTTTCCCATTCCAGGTTTTTGATCTCCCTGTGGATTTTAGTTCCAGATACCTACCAGAAGAAATCTCCCACAAACAGAAGTAATCTAGCAGCATCTACTTCAGAAGTAAACTGGTGGGGAGTCTGTTAGGGGGAAGTAGGCCTCCCTTTTCCTTCTTATGGTGCAGGCTTTGGGTGTCGTCTTAACAATGGGGGCACATCAGAGGACCAATGTGTACTTCCATTGAGCTCATTAGAATACTTCATAGACTTTGATCTTTTTTCAGATATGTAGATTCATCCTTTAACCTCTACCTCTCTTGCCCGAAGAAGAGGCTGTAGGGTCAAGTGCTGTGCTTTCTTCTGAATGTCAAAGCATTAACAAAGGTTCCATAGCAGGAGTGCTTTGCAGGAATCCACTCTTAGCTGTCAGTAATGCCAAATGTCATCAGGTCTCTGTCTAGTCTTGGATCTTAAATGGCCTAACTCCTTTGTGTGGCCTTCAGAAAAGTCAGATAGACAGATATCATAGCTGTAGAACCAGGAGACTTTCTTGTAATCCATGGACTTCTGATACACTTACTTTCATGTTTCCATTGTGCACATTCATTAAAAATACCTCTGCTTTGCTCTGGGCCAAGAACGATTTCAGTACATTGTCAGCATTACCTTAGTCTGCAGGGACTTTACAAAAACTATGATTGAGGTAGTAGAGCCCCTCTTTTGTCTGAAATTTTGAATATTCTTTACATTGATGACTGCTTTTAAGGCTCCAGTGTATGACAGCAAGGAATCCAGAAGCCTGTGTCCTTAGTAACTGCCCCAAGGCTTGTAGTTAATTTCAGGAAAAGTATATTAGTCCTTTGAGAATTGTCCCCTTGGAGGGCAGTCTGACCTAATTCTTGACATAATGCCTCCTTCAGAGAAGTCCTGCTGACCAGGAAATGGGCAGAAAGACTTTACTTAGTTCTTTTAGCCCAGTCGTTTTCAGCCTTGTCCATACTGGGGCTGTCCTGATTCCCTTCCTGTTTATCAATATGGGAAGCGCCAAGTGCTGACACTTTGTTCAGTGAAAAAAATCATTTAGAGCAAACCAGTTTTGATGCTTCCCAGGGGTACCTGTGCTGAGTCACCTCGCTACCACCTGCCCTTAGCATGAGGAAGCCTTATCTGTGCCTGCTGTGGGTCAGCTCGCTAACTCCATTGACCACAGGCAACACAAGTACTCCCCTCTAGTCCTCACAGGGCTCGCTGTTACTTTAACAGTTAGAGATTGGCACACATGAAGACTCAAGCTCTCTGAGCGTCTCCGTGGAATGTCCAGCCCCATGTTCACTAGGTTCTCGTAATGTTCAGACTCATTCTTTGCAAAGAAACAGTACCCCAGCTTCTCGATTCCAGCTCAGATCACCACTCCACATAACATGCAGCACTTAGATATGTTCATAGTGAAATAAAGTATAACTTTATATAACAAAGCATAGAGATTCAAGTAATAGCAAATAGAAGTATTGGAAACCAGTGGTTACATATAAAATCATAACATGCATTCTAGTGCTTAGACTTATTTAACTAGGTACTCTTGTGTCTCGTAGAGTAGTTCTCATCCAAAATCCTTGTAGCACTTCATAGCCAGGCTGTCTGACTTTCCTTTCATGAGACAAGTATGATGTCAGCTTGCTTCCTCAGTGAGGGACACCCGGGTGTTTTCTTGCATCCCAAGATATACCAGAACAATCCTTTGTCTTTACGTATAAACAGGATTCCATCTGACATTCATTTCATCTTGTGGATTTCCTTTCTTGTAGATTTCACAATCTCCTATTTCGGGTGAGGGTCAATATGCAAGTAGGTATACACTGAGGCATGCAATATGTAAACAACCAGACAGGGAGATAGGTGTCTGTTACCTCCTGGCTGACAGGAATCTTTTTGAGGTGTTCCTTAACTTCAATATAGTTTTCAGTATAAATACATAACTCCTTAAATATTATCCATACATACATTTCACAGTGATTCTGATGACTAGTGGGCTACTGGCTTTCGATAGAGACCTCACATGCTTCGATGAACTGTTATGCATATATCCGACCTGGAGAAAACCTTCTGCCAGTTGTCATCATGGGGTCCCCTGGTTCACACTGGTGTTGGTAAGTGAAATATTCAGCAAGGACAGCCTATGTCTTCTTGAGTTCAAACAAGTGGTATAAAGTTGTCATGTGAAAACCAATCAACTTTTGGTGTGGAAGAAAAGTTGCTGTTGTTGAGTGCCCAGTTATTCACAAGTTAGTGGAAAGATGTGTGTGTATTGGTGGGTTTATTTCTAATTACGTTCACAAATTTGTGTCAAGTAACTTTTTCAGTTCCACCACATCATCTTTACCACCAAAGCTTGCTAGTGAGTTAAACAATGTGCCCAAATAGCTTTGGGGTGAAAGTCTAATCATGAGGCCACTCTGTTTTCTGGTCATAGTTGTTTTTTGCTAATGGGGCCCAAAGCTAATACAACACTATCTGCCGAACCCAGTTACAAGAACTGATTGCTGGAGAGCCTCAAAGACTATTTTTACTTTCCTAAGTCAGTGGAAAGCAAAATGGGAAGTCCTCAATATGGATCTTTTTCCACTCATACTTGACAAATGTTTCACTTTTTGCAAAACTTTAAACTGTAGTTTCATTCAGCTTGTACTGAGAAGTACTGGCTTTCCTTATAAACAATTGATCCTGAACATCTGCCACCATAGTATGACTTCATTTAGCTGATTGTGTGAGTGGAGTGGGGAATTGCCTTAACTTGACCTGGCAGCAGCAGCAGCTCCCAGCACAACATTAACACCATCCAACATATGGAATGCAATCAGTGTTTCCCCAATTATGAGGTTTGGCAGCTTTTGCTACTTGCAGTGACGCCAAGTATGATGGCCAGAGGGCTTTTATGTTTCAGTATTGCCATTTATTAAAACAGTGTTCTGATTTTTAAATTCATAAGCTTTTGCATGAAGAATTCAGTGGATTTCTTTTTTCAAGATGGTTAATCTCCAAATTGCTCAGTACTTCCTCTGTTTTAATGGCCACATACATGTTCCTGAATCCTTTGTCAGCTACTGCAACAACTTGTTTGAAATACTGTAGCAGCTGAGAAGCATTGAGTCGTGTGCGTTTTGGTCTGAGTCTTCCGGCGAGGAGAGTCAGGCTCAAGAGGTAGATCCAGAGAAGAGGGAAGGAAGGGAAGAACGGTTGAGTGTTCTCCTCCTTGGCTTCACAAAATATCTTATGCACTGTAATAGTTTAATTTCCCCTTGGAGGTGGGGGGGAGGAGGGGAATGCAGGAGGTAACTGCAGGCTGGTCCCTGCAGGGCAGGAAGACAGAACAAAATGTTTGGTGCCTGGATGCAGTAAATTGGCAGATATACTGAACTCTTCAACATACTGGAACAATTCTGTTTGTGGCTGTAGAATCAAAGTCAACAGGCCTGGAGATGAATGGGACAAGTCATACTTCCTAGACCTATTGTCTTGGACTGACTGCAGAATCAGGCAGGCATCACTGCGTTGGTTTATACTCCGTTTACATTTTTAAGGTTATTTTTGTAACCATAAAGGCTATAAATATAACTTCCTTTTTTCACCCTTTTGTTTTGAAAAAAGAGCATGGTTGTGACTCACAGGTTGAGAAACACCTGTTCTAGATCAGTCGTAGCACAGTGGAGATTTATAAGACAGATTTGTCCTGACTCCAGTTGCCAGTCTCTCTCAGATGTTGGGAGCGGGGGGAAATCCAGTGATTTTCTTCAGAGATGCCCCTGCAGAAGTTGCAGGTACCAGTTGTCATCACTGCTGCAGGCCTCTGGGGTAGAGGGACCACCCGGTGATCGTTTTGTCATATGGCCAACAGGAAATCAGTGTTAAACCTCAGTGTCACTGTGCTTTAAGCAGTGTAGCTGCCCCCTGTCCCCCCCACTAGCATTCCAAACATAAGAGGAAAACCAGGGGGTGCTGATAATATTGGAAAATGTGGTTGTGTGATATCTTTATATCTGTTAGAAATTGGTCGTGGGAGCTGTGATTCTGACTGGGCAGAAAGCCTTCCAAATCAATCCACACTTGGCCTGTGAACGTTCAGTCTGAAGGCAGGCTGGCTAAGGGGAAGATCTCTTATCTTGGATGTAGCTCCTGTTCCCCCAGAAGCCTTCCAGAGAGTCTGAAAAATTGGAGGATGCCATCACAGACCTGTTTGCCTGAGCCAAGACTCATCAGGCTTTCCAGGTTTTGTTGCTGATAAGAAGATAATGGCCCTCCAGGCACTGTCTTTTCTATTCTTTGGGGGAACTCAGTCATGTATATGTCGTCTTCCATATCCTTTATCCATGTTCCTTCAAGATGTGAATAGAAAGGGCAACAATGATTTTGATTGCCTCAGATTGTTCCTCTGGTCATGATACTCTGAGGTTCTAACTTGAGCAGTTTGAGAAGATGAGAACGTCTCATCCTCAACTTCCTGTCTCTTGGTATAGTGACTCATGAGTCCCTCATTTAAATTCTGTATATAGGGCTGACATGTGGGAGGAAGTCCCTAATTCACTGTGATTTGCCATATATGGCGATCTCCGCCCTTCTGAAGTCTAGAAAGGCTCTGTTAGTTGGAGCCTATCACAATTCTTGGGAAATAGATCAATGGTTCCTGATCCTTCTAGCCTCTGAGTGTAGGCAAGGAAGAGTTGGCGGGCCCTAGAGCATCAACAGGAAGCATACTTTGACTCGTTATCTTCTACCTTCCTCCTCCTATACTTTTCTGCCTACAAGGCTGTTCAGAAGCAGTGGGTAAGATATAGAAATACCTCTTCACTGGGTAGCCCATTATTTCCTAGCCCCGTGCAAAGGCCTTTCCCAGTTTTCAGTTGCTTCCTGGCACCAGGGAGTGAGCTCCAGCTCTTCCCCTTCCCCCCTCTTGCTCCTGTTGGTTGCATTGTGAAGAGGTCTAGATAATTAAGGGGGTTACCTTAATTATGGTTATGGACCAGTTATGGCCCTCCTCCACAGCTTTTGTCTCCCCCTGATTCTACAGAGGGAAATGCTCTTATGGTCCACAAATTGAACATCAGCTGTGATTCTGTGCCATGATAAAAATCCTATTGCAGAACATGGGGAAGAGCATGAATGGGACCACCCCCAGAGCATTTTGAGTGATGTCCTCCTCATGTTAGTGTATGAGGCAAAAAACAGTGAAACTGAAAAATAACTGTGGATTTTTATAGTAATTTTTTTAGCTATTTTCAACTATAGTGAGTACAAAATCTTCAGATATACTTTTTTCAAGTTGACAGTGTGCCTTTAACATTTTTACATATGTTTGAGTTTAATTCCTTAGATTTCTGGTGTAATATATAGTACTTAATTAAAAGATGACTTTTAAAGATGTGCAAATTTATGGTGCTAGTTGAGTGATGATTATCAAGAAACCAAAAATAGTTTGCTTCTCAAATTTTTTGTTTATACTTATGCTTTTCTCTAGACAATGACTTTCACTGGACTATCTTAACTACTTTTTCCACATTTAGTGTACTAGTAATACAGACATGAATAAACATAGCTAGAATGTAAACAAAGGGAATCTAAGTAAAGAGATGAGAGGAATTGAGGGAAAAATTTTAATAAATATTGAAAAACAAGAAGGCTTTTGTTTCATGGGGCTTGGGAGTAGACAGAGGACATCATGGAGGAACATTCAGTACTTTTAAGTCAGCTCTTACAAAAGAGAAGATTAATTTGGAAAAATAGCTTTAGAATACATTACCTTTTCACTCTTTGTAACTTTTACAGCCCTTTAACCTGTCTAATATGTCAAACTAATAAGGTGTATGTTGACCTGAAATCTATTTTGTTTAAAAATACTCTTATTGCAATTTAACATTCACTCACTAATCTGTTTTCTTAGAGTACCCATCACCATATACTCCTGAGGGCATTCTGTGCCAAAAAAATTAAAAAACTTCACACTATTTTAAAAATTTTGCAAATGTTATTTGTCAATTAAATGTGGAGGCTCCAGCATGGTATTGGGGAGCACAGATCGCTGTGCAGCTCCCCCTGCCCCCGGGACATGGACTCAGTGGTGAGGCTGCATCCTACCCTGACACAATGCAAGGACTGGGCCTGCCCCAGAAACATCACAGGTGTGGGAGGCAGGCTCAGCAAGGCAGGATCCAAATGTGGAGGGGCTTAGTGTGGGGGGATCCAGGTGTGGGTTGAGAGGATTCTGTGTGGGGCAGTCTGAGTGCGGGCAACTTAGTGGGGGATTCAGGTGCGGAGGAGATCTGGATGCACAGGGGCTTGTTGTGGGGTTCTGGGTGCAGTGGTAATGAAACTCTGCAGGGGGCTCCAGGTGAAGATGGTTGGGGCTCAGCATGGGGGGGGGTCTAGATGTGGGGGGATAGAGCTCATCAGAGGAGTCTGGGGGTGGGCCTCAGTGGGGTGGTGATCCAAGTGCAACTGGGGCTCGGTGGTGTGGGAATCTAGGTCTGGGTGGCTTGTAGGGGTGGTCCAGGTGCAGGGGGGAGTGGGGCTCATCATGGGGGGTTCTGAGTGGAGGGGGATGAGGCTTGGCGGGAGAGTCTGGGTGTGAGGGGGAGGTCTGGATGCACAGGGGTTGGGTGGATGGGGAGCAGTGCCCTGTAAAGGGGTCCCTCCCCCTGCAGCTGAAGAGTGATGGGCACAGGAAGTGGGGAGAGGGGCGGGAAGAGTTTGCAGATCTTCCTGCAGCCGGGGGAGAAATCTGGAGTTGGGTCTGACCTGGCCTTGGATGCTATGCAGGGGAAGAGGAAGTCCCATCCTCCCCAGCCTAGACCGGACTAGTAGCTGAGCTCGGCGCAGGGTAGGAACCACCAGCCAGGTCTTCCCCCATCCCGCCTCCTGCCCCACAGTAATTTATCTTTCCGCTGGCTGCCCTGGGCACCGGAAACATACTGCTGGGGAGGGTTGCATGACCGCTCTTGTAGCTTTCCTTTGCTTCCCCACAGAAAAATGACTTTCTGATGGGGAAGCAAAGAAATCTGCGGAGGACATACATTCTGCGCATGTGCAGTGGCACAGAATTCCCCCAGGAGTAACCACAGCATCTGAGCACTAGTAATACATTCAGTGGAATGATTAG